CTGCCGCGACCTGGATGTCCGTTCTCTCTCGCATTTGCTGAAAATGTTTTTGTTGATCTTTAGTTCTCTCGACAAGCTCCCTCCGAAGTTTCGTCGGTGTTGTCTGCCTCTGAACACGTGGCAAAAGGGTTCCCCAAGTTTCGTCGGTGTTGTCTGCCTCGGGACACTTGGACACCGAGTTCCCCACGTTTTCCTGGTTCGCCTGTTTGCCAACTAGTGTCGTCTTAATTTTTTTTGTTTTAGTTCCATCGTGCCGCAGAAGTGTCGCATACGCTTGGTGCTTCGGGGATTCCATCCCGTGGCGTCACCTCCTCCCATGGATTTTCGCCGTTACCCACACTTCGTTCTGTTCGTCTCCATCATCGCCACCTTCGGGCGACGCCTTCATCACAGTACCGCCCCTGAGCCGTCGTCTTGTTGTGTGAATCTCTACGACTTTGTGTTTTATGTCTTTGAATGATGCGTATCGCCAGCGAACCAGGGCGCAGTTCGTCGACCGCCTCTCTTGCAATAATCGCTTGTGCTTTGCATCCTTGGTCCTCAATAGGTCNAGTCTAATGTCTTTGAATGATGCGTATCACCAGCGAGCCATGGCGCAGTTCATCGGCCGCCTCTCTTGCAATAATCGCTTGTGCTTTGCATCTTTGGTCCTCATTAGGTCTTGCCCTTGCCGTCTCCTTATACGAGTTGGGTACACTGGCACGCCGGCAATAGTTCTCCGTGCCTTTGCCTGTCGTTCTTTTTTCCTGCCCTTCGTTAACGCCCTAAATTGCGTTGAGTTTTCCCTTTGCGTCGCGCCCAGTATCAAAGGCCGTGTTCGTTCAGAAATTTGTTTGGGTTTTGAGTTTCGTCACCGTATTTTGGACTCTCTCGGGTAGTCACCCTCATTCCTCCAGCGGTGATACGCGCGGGTGCGCGTAAAGGAGTGGTGTGTGGCGTTTGGACATTGATTTTTTTTTCCTCTGTCGTCGTCTGTTCAGGATGATAGCGTTCTCTGCCGCAATATTTATTCTTCGTAGCTTTATCCCTTCAAGCGTTGTCATTGAGATGTCGATGTTCCGTCTTCGGGATATTTCTACAACCCACCCCCCGTTTGGATGTTTTGTGAAGAGTCACATCTTCGATTCATGATCATTACTCATCAGCTAAGTCTTTCTGTAGCTTTAGGATTTGAGCATTGATTTGAGTATAGAATCTGCATATATGATATTCAGGGTGGGCTAGTGTTAAGGAGTGTGGCTGCTAGCATGAATAGGGTACATCTTATGGTTGATAGGATGCGGGTCGGTCAGGAGGTATACCCTTCTGACCCCTACCCCCTTAGAATCGTCTACTCTGTGTACCCCCTGAGATGAAGTTGGATCCCCACTTCATCCCAGACCTTTGCTGATCGCCTCTCAGCAATAACAAGCAACTTTCCCATCTCAACGTGGTCGTGGACAAGCGTGTCAACGACAGAACCTTCATCTATCTCTAGGAGCAAGCTACCGCCCACGGCTTCACTCCTTGAAAGTGGTGTGTGTGGAGACGCAGCATCAACCCACGGCGTTGTTGTACACAAAGTTTTCTCGCCAACCGGTGCTGACACCGGATTCACCCATCCCAAGTCTAGTGGACTACAGTAGTTCTGCAGCATGTGATCGGTCGACGTCGGGGCTCGTTACGTTCTCTCTCTGTGTCCTCCCCCCCCCCCCCCCCCNNCTCTCTCTCTCTCTCTCTCTCTCTCTCTCTCTCTCTCTCTCTCTCTCTCTCTCTCTCTCTCGCCAGCTCGTGCACCCTTAACGTCTAAAGCCGGTTGTGCGTAACACAGACCGGTGAACAGCTCAACCTCGAGCGTTGGGGCCTATTTCGAGGACGTCCAGGCAACACCAAAATCCTTGTATTGTAAAAATGACACCTTCAAAAATCAACTCTGCTCACGCTACTTCCTCCTGAACCTCTTCGTGGTATACGAAGCTTTGAACAGACCTACGTGACGTGGCCCGCATCTAGAAGTTTTGTCTCGGCCTTGAGAGGGAAAGAAGCATTTGGGTACCAATCATATCGTCACCAGGTAGGGTTGTTGACATAGAGGGGGTTGTCTCTAATTTGTTACACGCACACTCGAAGGCAAAAAGCAAAAACCAATTCATGGCCAACCCAGGTCGGCGGTGAGGGGAATCACGTTAAGTTGGAAAAAAATGTTGCGGCTGTACACTGGCGTCTTCAGAAAAGAATACCAAGCTGAGGGGGGAGGGCTTGGCCCTTGTGGTTGCAGGTGGCAAGGAAGTAGGAACAGGGGGTGGCAGTATCGGGGGGGGGGGGGAACATGNTTGTTTGATTTCGGGTGGGTGAGCTTGGGGTTTTGTTCGTTTTTCTCCATCTAAGGTTCGTGCCTAGAGTTCAGCTGTAGTGTTTCAACCAAATTTTTGTTGACTTAGAGGCAAACATTCCTAGCTATTGGGCATCGAGTTAATTTGGCTTGGCATGACGACCCATACGATCGACTTTTTATGTATGTCTGCATTTATCTACAATTGTCGGAGGGCAAACAAAATAATAAAAATAACAACTGAACCGAAAATCACACTGCCTGCACACAGGTGTATAAAAAAATCCGGATCATCTTAAGTTCGTTGTGGGATACGAAACCAACCATAGGCCCGATTCCGAATGCATCCCCCTGTGGGATGGTGACCGCAGAAGAAAAGATGAAACCAGAAGCAAGCGTTATGTCTGTCTTCGGGTTGCCATGAAGATTGGCAGCACAAGTGCATGTGCTATACGTTTGATTCCAACTTTGACAGAGCCATATATAGCTTCGTCTAAGTTGTTCCCCCCTTTTACTTGTGTCCATTGGACATTTTTTCACGCTCTGGCCTCGTCCCGTTGTGTGGCAGACCGGTTCAGGAACACGCGATGACACGTGTACCCTTTCGATCCCCCCCCCGCCCCCCGGTGTTTGCCATCGGGGTTGGGTTTTCGTCGCTTGGCAACGACGTTGTAAAATAAGCCAGTTCACTTCGTGAGTTCGGCAACCAGGTTACCGTTTGTTTTTTTTTACTTCCGTTTTTTTTTTGGCGGTAACCATAATGGTGGTCGAGNATTCCAACTGTGACACAGCCGTATATTGCATCATGCAAGTTGTTTATTCCACGTTTTCCTTGGGTCCTCTGGGCATGTTTCTCCACCTTTTCCTTGTGCCCGCCGTCTGGTAGCCCGGTTCAGGAACACGCGCTGACACATCTACCCGTTCAATTTCCCCCCCCCGCACCAGACGATGAGCTCGCCCTCCAACAGGAAGAGGACGAGAGAAACAGAGATGCTGGAAGTGGCGCTAGAGAAACGGTCGCGATCGTTTCCTCTGGAATATTGGGTACATCTTCGCAAGACCCACCGGTTTCGAGGGAAGGTTCGCCTCCCAGTCCTTCACGGAGCGACTGTGGGGATTGCTGGGGCCCGCCACCTATCTGCTCCTCTGCACGGACGTCCAAGGGTAGGGGTGGAAAAATTCCCAGCGGCAGCACCGGGGGTTGTGCCTTCATGTCGACAACGGCGAGCGATCACCGCATCCAGGCACGTTCGTGTGAAGAAATCGCCTCGAGAATACGTTAGGATGCCTTCCCGTGATTCATTTTGGCACGCTGGTTTTGTGGTGCACGATTGATTGACGTTTGTCAGAGCCATGATCCTGGTGGCGAGATACAGGACGAGTCTGAGGCCTTAGTGGCCGCAAGACACAAGAGAATTTTGGGGGCGACATCAGTATTTCCACCCTACCGTTTGTCCACTGCAGGTTTACCCCATTGCCAACGACGTCATTTACTACGCTTACGTTGCTGCGTGGTGGGCGTGTTGCCCCCTGCATGTGTCCATCAGCAGAACTGTGGGAAGGCTGTTGCACACCATACGCCTGGTGCAGTCGTTGTGCACATCGATGCTTGAGTTGTAGATGAGCGGGAACGAGTCAACGACGAGCGTCGACGATGCTTTGTTTGACTCCAAGATTGTGGAGTTTTTGCTTGCTGTGAGTATCCAAGCTCTGCTTCTTCTCCAGGATACCAACGACAAGCAGGATCCGATAGCTGTGTGGAATGCGGAACGGCACTTTCCTGTTCCGCGGCATGACTCCCCTTTGCATGCCATTGTTGAGCATGGTGGTCTTGTTTTTCTAGTGATATAACATGGAATCACCCCTGACCTGGGCGAGCTCCAGCCATTCGCCGGATTGTTGTTTTCGGGTGCCGCGAGAGATCGTTTCTCCCGCATTGTTCGTTCGTTTGGCGGGCCTGCGAGCACGTACATTCATGAGACTTCCTACGGATTATTATTCTTTATTCGTTCAGACGTTGACTGGGCACTTGCAGTGAAACCGTGTTTCATTCTAGTTGTGTGCGCCGTTGAGCTTGGGTAATCTCTCAACTGGTTGCTGCCAGCCAGCTGTGCGGCTGACCCTGCTGCCTGCATATGTCTTCATCTTGTGCGACCCCTTGAACATACGATCTAACATGTCCTCTCCGGAGGGATCCCGTGTAGTTGTTTGAACTTGCGTCTTGTTCCACCGCCTTCGCCGTGCGTTTCGCCGACGAATTCATGCGGGGTTCGGTGTCTTGACGCCTTCGCCATCGCCTTGCACCAAGCTTACGGCGGGAGGAGGGGGCACTGATACGAGTCTACGCTGCAGCTGCAATGTGTGTGCGTGGCGTTGTGCGGCGCATGCCGAAGTGTCCCGGCCTGGCACTTGTGTATCGATGATCAGACGCCGAAAAGCTTGTGGGATCCGAACGTGCGCACCTCCAGCCGTGTGCTGGCCGTGATGGCGCTCCGTTTGACTTGTATGCACGGTCGGATGAATGAATTTGTTCTGCATGCAGGCGATAGGCAGTGGAAGTTTTTGGAGGTGCTGCAACTGGAGGGGTTCAAGAGCACATCGCGCCCACATCGGCCAAAGCCAAGGCTGGTGTTTGACCACGAGAAGTCTTCTATTTGTCATCGATGGTATGGCCGCCTTCTCTGCGACAACTTGAGTTTGGGGATGGGTTCACCGTGCGGATCGCCACGCTCAAAGGTCCGCCCTCCCTGCAACAGCTGTGGATTGGGCATTGGTGCGACGAGCATATTGCCAGGGTCGGTTGGCCGATGTCTCTGCAGCAGGTATTTTTCAGTGGAAACTTCGATCAGCCCATCGCCGGGGTCGCGTGGCCAACCTCCTTGCGGGTGCTGTCGTTCGGGGAAAAGTTCAATCAGCCCATCGCCGAAGTCATGTGGCCGGCCTCCCTGCAGCAGCTTTCGTTCGGAGGGTCGTTCAACTGGCCCATCACCGGAGTCGTGTGGCCGGTCTCCCTGGAGGAGCTTTCCTTCGGAGATGGATTCAACCAGCCCATCGCCGGTGTCGTATGGCCGGCCTCACTTCGGCAGCTTTCGTTCGGGAATAGGTTCAACAGCCCTATCGCCCGAGTAATGTGGCCGGTCTATCTGCAGGAGCTTTCGTTCGGCGATGCTTTCAATCAAAGCATCGCCGAAGTCGTGTGGCCGGCCTCATTAAGGCAGCTGTCGCTCGGCCGGTGGTATGACCAGCCTATCTCGGGGGTCACATGGCCGACCTCCCTCCAGCACTCCCCTTTGGCTGGTCGTTTCGACAGTCCATCTTTGGAGTAGTTTGGCCAGCCTCACTGCGGCAGCTATCGTTCTGGTGCCGATTTGACCAGGCTGTAGCCGAAGTCGTATGGCCAGCCTCCCTTCGGCATCTTTCGTTCGGTGTGTGTTTCAACCAGCCCATCACCACAGTCGCATGGCCGGCCTCCTTGCAGCAGCTGTCGTTCGGAGACAGATTCCATCAGCCCATCGCCGAATGACCGGCTTCCTTGCAGGAGCTTTCGTTTGGGGATTGGTTCGACTACCCTATCACCGAAGTCTTATGACCATCTTCCCTGCGACGCCTGCCGTTTGGGGAAGACTTCAACCAGCCCATCGCCGAATTCTTCTGGCCGGCTTCCTTGCAGAAGCTTTCGTTTGGGAAACGGTTTTCCCAGCGGACAGATGAAGTCGTGTGGCCGGTCTCCCTTCAAACGGTAACGCGGATAGGGGTTTCCCTGTTGTAGTGGCGCAAGTATCGTTTTTTCTCGAGGGTGGGGTCGCTATTTGCGAAAACCGTGGAGACAGGGAATAGCTAGGGATCGAACGCATTGTTCCTGAACATGAGGAACCACACGAAGGTTCGCCAAGATACCGTTGCACCTGCTCCTCGAGTGTTTCGTCGAATGCGCTTGAGTAGGAGTGCAAAAACTTGGGTGAAATTTTGTCGACGGGGGCGGGGGGGAGGTACATCTGGGCTGGGAGGGAGGGCGTTTTCTCGATGGTACATATTTTTTCTTCTGAATATCTCGGCTTTTCAAGAAGGACAACGACTTCCCTCGTTATCTCAGAGCGATACACCTTGTCTTTGACGGTTGTTCGCATTTGACCAGTAAACATGGGACAACACCCACGCATTAGTTGGTCGGAAATGAACGAGGAAAGGACATCAAACGAGGAGGTTGACGAAAACGACGTTGTGCTGCTGGCGAAAACCAGGATTACGCTGGCTTGGATGAGA